ATATTTTTAATATTTTACTAATGGTATAATCTCAGACGGGTGCTTTTTAAATATTTCAAACAAATCACGATCTTGAAGTTCAAGATGTTCAATTTGAATCTCAACATAATATTCTTTGGCTAATGCATTTAATTTTATTTCATCTCTATATATAATTAAAAATATATGTTAATATTGGATAATTTATATAAGTATTAAATATAAAAAACGCGTAATAATCAATATAAAACACAAAAAAATATATAATAATGATAAGTGCAATTATTATTATCATTTTAAATATATATGTGTGTGTGTGTGTGAATAATTTTTAATCTTAATCTTGAATAAAAATAAGGTAAAGACCTGTAGATAAAGTGGTCACCAAGTCGAAACTCATCAACAAACTTGTAAAGCCTTTGTTCAAGACTAGTACGCGAATCCCTTGTTTGTGATCTATTGTTAGAATTTAAAGAGGAAGTGTAAATTTTTCCTTGGTCCCAACCATGTACAGATGCCATTATTTATTATTAATTATGAAATTTAATTTTTAAAGAGTTAAAAGTAAATTCTACAAAAAAAAAATTTTTTTCAATTCCCCCCTTGCGAAAGAAATAAATCACATGATGAAAAAATTTAACGCGTTTTTTTTTTTTGCAAAATTCAAAAATAAAGATATATTATGAAAAATTAAATGACAAAAGAATATTAAAAAAATGGTTTAGCTAGCATATTTAAAATGTCATTATATATAACTTTGGTTCTATCTTGTAATAAGAAATAATACATATTATATTTATTGTATAAATTATTAAACCTTTAATATTAAACCAAAGCCAATTCCAAAGTCCATGTACGTCTGCACCATAATCGGATCGGTACGGCTCTATCACCAAAAACTTTAATTTCTAATCCATCCCACCAGCATTTTCTCTATAAAAGAACAAATTTATTTTTTTAAAAAAAGTTTGTTACTATAAATTAAAATTAACATTATAAAATTTAATACATACAGCCGGTTTCCTCCAAAATAATAACAACTTTTGTGCTGTTGCCATTTGATTACCCTGTCCTGTTGTTTTAAGCATTACTAATGCAATACTAACGATACTCGTCTTAAGTGGTTCAATATTACGATATCCCCATTCATCATCTCTTGAAAAGCCTGAAACACATAACATATCTATCAAATGCTGTTCTGCTACATTATTTTCTTTATTAATATTACGTTGTAACGCTGTAAATATCTTTTTTTGATTAAGAAGATATGAACCGCACTCTGTCTTTAATTCAAAAATATCAATTGCTTGCTCACTATCACTAGTTTCATTTGCGGCTGTAATGCTGCTGGTGCCACTAAGAGCTGTAGTTTCTGTTGTTGTATTGTTCAAAGTTCCTTTTCCTGTTGCTTCTGTCGATATATTATGTTTTTGGGAGGATTTTGGTGGTATGGTAAAATAGTCCAACTCTTCTCTTAAAACAATTATCGCCTGTTTACTTAAAAGTGGATTCTGTGGACTATGTGGGAATGCTGTAGAGGTACTTCCAGTTGGTGATTTACCACGTCACATAACAGTTCACGTTGACAGGTAAATAAAGAATAATAGTAGAACTTTTAAAATGATACAAGTTAATTATAATATAATAGTACATTAAAAAATTTTTATTGTTATTATTATTAATTAATTATTTTATTTTATTTTATTTAAAAAAGATATTTGACTGATAAAGTAGCACCAGGAAATCGTGTTAATATCTTGGGAATTTATGATATTTATCAAAACTCTTCTGCAAAGGTATATTGTATTCGTAGATGATGAAAAAATTCAATTAATCTTAATCATATTTCCTCAATTATTATTATCGTTATTGTTTATAGAGACAAAATCAAAGCATTGGCACAAGAATACCTTATGTAAGGGCACTTTCTATTGAATTTGATGAAAATCAAAGTGGAACAAATCATAATACATTTACACACTCAGAAGAAGAAGAAATGATTCAAATGTCTAGAAACCCAAATTTCTATAATATTTTTACTAGTAGTATCGCTCCATCAATTTACGGAAATGAAGGTAAAAACAAAAACAACAACAACAACAATAATGTTTACATCCAATTCATAAAAATAAATAAATACTTTTTTTCTAATTGTTACTGTTAGATATTAAGCGTGCCATAACTTGTTCGCTTTTTGGTGGAAGTAAAAAAATTTTAGAGGATGGTATGCGCCTTAGAGGAGATATTCATGTTTTGTTATTAGGTGATCCCGGTACAGCAAAAAGTCAATTCTTGAAATTTGTTGAAAAGGTTTTTATCAATTTCTCATAATCATAAATAAATAATAAATATAATAATAATCATTATTACATAACTAGATTGCTCCGGTTGCTGTGTATACTTCAGGTAAAGGAAGTAGCGCTGCAGGTTTAACAGCAGCCGTTATTCGTGATCCTTCAACTGTAAGTGTTTATTTTTATTTTTTTTTGAAATATACTTGTTTAAAGCAAATAAACGAAAATCAAAATATTTTTAGGGCGACTTTTATTTGGAAGCAGGCGCAATGGTTTTATCAGACGGTGGTGTAATTTGTATAGATGAATTTGATAAGATGCGAGAAGAAGATAGAGTAGCTATTCATGAGGCAATGGAACAACAGACTATATCTATTGCTAAAGCTGGTATAACCGCTGTTTTAAATACTCGTGCATCTGTTTTGGCTGCTGCTAATCCTCAATTTGGCCGTTATGATGACATGAAAACCCCTGGAGAGGTAATTTAACCCAAAATTTTGTTTTATTTTAGGGATATTCCTTTTTCATTATTATTATATGCTAACTATGTATATTTATATAATAATTAATCAGAATATTGATTTTCAAACCACTATTTTATCAAGATTTGATATGATTTTTATTGTTAGAGATGAATGTAATCAACAAAGAGACATGGTATTGAAAGAAAATACATTATATGTGTATATGTATATATGTATATATATTATTCATTATATTAAATGTTTGATATTTATTTACTTATTAAAAAAGAATATAGCAAGGCATGTAATGAATGTACATATGCATAAGACTCAACCAGAAGCTGAAGGTGAATTGGAAATAGTGAAAATGAAAAAATATATAAGTTATGCTAAATTGTAAGTAATAAATGTAATCTTAAATTCACCAACGCCAATTCATTCTTCTAATAATATCATTCTTTTTATTATTAGAAAATGTGCACCACGACTTTCTGATGAAGCAATTGAAAAATTAAGTAATTATTTTGTTACAATCCGTGATGATGTAAAACGATTGGAACAAGATAGTAAAACAAGATCTTCAATACCAATTACTGTAAGGTAAACAGAAAATGGTCCGATAATAATTAAATAGCCATTAAATTTATTTATTTTTATTAATCAAAAAAAAAAAAATAGACAATTAGAAGCTATTATTCGTATATCAGAATCTTTAGCAAAAGTTACACTATCACCATGTGTATCAGAAGAACATGTTGATGAAGCAATGCGATTATTTAAAAGTTCAACTGTGAATGCTTTACAAGTTGGTGAAGGTAGTAAACAATAATAATAATGTATTTTTCTTTTGGGAAAGAATTGTTTATTAATTAAGATTTGTCTATTATTTATATTGTAAAAGTTGAAGGAATGTCACATACGGAAATGTCTAGTCAGGTTCAAGTTGTCGAAAGAGAAATAATAAATCGACTTCCAATGGGTTCAAGAGCCTCCATACAACGATTAACAACTGACCTTGAAAACGTAAGTATTATCATTATTTATCATTTAATTATTTTAATATTGTTTAACTAATGTTTAAAATTTTTTTTCAAAGCATTTTCCTGCTGTAATAGTAAAACGCGCAATAGATATACTTATCAGAAGAGAAATGATTCAGTATGTTAATCGTGGTAGAATGATTTACAGAATAGGTGGATAGACATTCGTTAAATAATAAACCGATTAGTTTGTACATAAATTATGTGAAAATTTTTTTTTTATAATTAAATTCCCCTTTTATGCCCATGCAAGCTAGCTGCTAGAGAGTATGTATTAATGCTGCCTACTACGTACATTAATGTTGCCATTTAGCCGTTTGACTGTTTTGGCTGACAAATTTCCAAGAAATTACCAGTGTTTTTACAACTTTAAAGGAAAAAATTTATCAAGCTAAATGGGTAAGTCTATTAATATTAATATTTAGAATGCTCTCAATTACCATCGTCAAAAATGTCAATAACTTGGCATAAAAATCAGACTCGGACAGTATTAGAACATGACATTTTGTTTGCCCACTCTATGCCTCTTTCTATCTAGTATACAACTTCTGTATTGAATACCACGAGTGCATTTTTCGTGCTTCTCCTCAATGTTAAAATGCTGACAAGTATTTCATTTGTTTGTAGTTCATTTGGTAACTCATTCATCTTGTGCAGTGTGAAGGCTTACCCGCAAACTCAGGCGTCTTTTTATTTTCTTATTATATTTTTAGCCTACTCGAACATTTTAGATGCGCGCGTGTCAGAATGAGCTGTGCGTCAAGATCAGTGGATAAATTTTATTTTTTTGTTTTACATGTTGAATGACAAACGATAAAGAAAAACGAAAAAATATAAATGGTTTAAATAGTGTTCGTTTACACAAGAAAACATTAAAAATTTTTTATCATTATTGCAAACTGTTTAATCCATCTCGATTAATCATCTCAACTGGTTGACAGTGGTGTCTTCTCTATTGTTGTGATTTGGATGAGATTGAGTTATTTGTCATCACGAAATTCCTAGTTAAATCTTAACAGAGTCACCAACACCACATCATGATTTTTATTTATTAAAATTAATCACACAAATTGTTTGTTTGTTAATAACATACTCACATGTTCCTTGCCATCCTCCACCACAAACCCTTCCCATGGTTCGAAATATTGCGTTGGCATCAAATGTCGATATTAAAGAATCTGGGCCCACGAACCCTTTGCATTCGATTGCTTTATTGTTTATATATATTAATTAATGTGTAAACAATGATATATGTTCACATAACAGATCATCCATTTTTTTTTAATATCCAGTTTAAGGCGAGTTGGGATAATGATGGATCAAAAAAAAA